AACGGAGCTCTGTTTTCTCTGGCAGAGGCACCGCGGGCCAGTCCGTTGCTGTTACTAGGACAGCCCCGCAGGCCAGATCTAAGCACCCTGCGGGCCGGCTCTGGCCCTCAGGTCTTGAGTTTGACACCTCTAATCTAGTCCAACTCCTGCCCAAGTGGGAGACCCTACACCATTTCTGACAGATGTCAGTCCAGTCTCCAGGCTCTATTTGAGTGTTCCTCGACCGTGGCCACTTTGAGACGTGTGGACTTCAACTCCCAGAATTCCCCAGCCCATACATGAGAAACACTGTAATAATCTACCTTCCTTTTCTCTTCCACAGTATAGACAAGGTGTCGCGCATCACTTCCCCCGTGCTGTTCATTCACGGCACCGAAGACGAGGTGATCGACTTCTCTCACGGCTTGGCCCTTTACGAGCGCTGCCCGAAGGCAGTGGAGCCCCTCTGGGTGGAAGGAGCCGGCCACAACGACATTGAACTCTACAGCCAGTACCTGGAGCGCTTACGCAAGTTCATCTCACAAGATCTTTCTGGTTAATGCCACTCCACCTGCCTGACCCTTCTGGAAAGGACCGCCCACCTTCTTGACTGGGCCTGGGGAAGCAGAGGAAGCATTGGTGGCTTTTGAAGGAGAAGGCCACTGATGCTACAAGCTCTATGTTCCCATCTGCAAAATGGGAGTAGTTCTATTCATCCTCCCTTCTATTGCAGGCTTAGTCTGCGCAGGGGTCTTGAGTCTCTCCCGGTGGTTCTTCCCCATCGCCGAGGGGCCCTTTCCAGCTGTTCTCATTTCCAGCTGCTGTCATGGCTGAAGAGGGGCCTGAGGCGGAGTCTCCAATTGCACCTCCTCGCGGGACTCCGAAGGACTCGAGCGTTGCAGACTGTTCTAAAACCATGAACGCATCTCCATCAGGGCCTTCCTCTTGTGGCCTCCGTCCATCTTCTCCACTTCCTGTTTCAGATCCCGTTTCCCTAACGCTCCGCGTGGTGACCCATTGATAGCAATAAGCCATAGGCAGGGTGGGGCGGGAGGCAAAAGCACCTTGCATGCTGGCCAAAAAATGGCTTGCTTCAGTTTGACTGTCCAACCTACTGCAGCCCTTGAAGGACAATTGAATTTCATTCAAATTTCCTCAGGGGTGGGGATGGAAAACAGCTCACCTGGGGTTTTTTTCACCCGGAAGCCTGCAAAAAGAACTATTTGTGGAACGCAGCAAGGCTGTTCTACGTGTCTCGGAATTTATTGAGTGGGAGGAGGATTCATTTGCCAGCTTCATCACAACTCCTAGATACTATTGTTTTAATATTCCGTGTCCTGTCCCCTCCAGATGTCCCCAGGGAATGAATTACACTTTACTTAATTCCGAGTATTCAGGCAATGGGGAGAGGTTGGGGTGGGAAGTACGGGAAAAATTCTCCATCCATTCATTTTGAAAAGAGGAATAAACAAAAAAAAAAGAAAGATCCACATGCGTTTCCCATTAAATGTTTCTGGAGAATT